AAAAAAAAAAAAGAAAAACCCCACATGCCATCAGAGCCTCAGATTCCCTCTCAGTGTAGATGTTAAGTTTCCTGCTTCCCACCTAGTGAGAGAGTAGGGGGATGGAGGTTCTCCCCAGAGATGCTCAGCTGAGTGATTCTAGACTGGGAGATTCTCAGTGAGGAAAAGGTTGGGCTGTTTATGGTGAGATTTTGTAAAGCTGTTGCTTCCCTTTCCCCTTATTAGTATCTGGAAGTCTCTGCCCAGGCTCTGCTCAGAGAAGAATCATCCTGGGGAATTTAAGCCTGGATGTAGCATTTTGGGACTAAATGGGCAGGGGAGCCTCGAGGTCCCCCCATTTAGCATGTAAAGCACCATCCACGTCTTATATAGGTTTACTGGGGCTGCCGTGTGCTGCTGCTGCTGCTGCTGGCCAGGGGCTTAAACAGCAGGAGTTTTTGGCCCTGTAGTTCTAGAGCAGCAGTCCTCAAACTATGGGCCATGGGCCACATGCGGCCTACCCAGGACATCTATCTGGTCTGTGGGGTGTTTTGGCCGCCGCTGCCTATTCTGCTTAGCAGCCAACTCATCCTGAGGCCGCAGTCCGGCCCTCCAAAGGTCTGAGGGACAGTGAACTGGCCCCCTGCTTAAAGAGTTTGAGGACCCCTGTTCTAGAGGCTATAAGTCTGTGGTCGGGGTGTCTGTTGGCTGGGTTGACTATTTCTGAGGCTTCTCTCCTTGGCTTGAATGTGCCATCTCTGTGTTCCTCCTCTTTCTCTCTCTTAAAGGGACTCCAAGAGCACAGTCCTGCTGGATTGGCGCCCACCCTAAGGCCTGTTAGTGAGGCCAGTGGTCTCTTCAGAGGCCCTACCTCTAAACACAGTTGCATTCTGAGGTATGGGGGTTGGGAACTCAACGTGGATTTGGGGAGACAGTTCAGTCCATAAAGGCATGGAGCCTTCGGGAGTGACGTCGCCATGAAGAAACAGGAGCTGATGGAGCCTGGTCAGTGTTCCTGGTGATGGAGGGGCTGTTCCTCCTCGGTAGAGTTTGGACAGAACTGTTGTTAGACGTGACTAAACCAGCCAAGAGGAGGAAGCCGGGGTTGACCTTGTGATATGCCAAGTTCAGCACAGAAATTAATGTGAGGGCAGCTCATCGTGTCACTCAGCAGTGACCCTGTGTATGTGGCTGTAACAGACAGCTGTGTAACCAGACCCATCAGGAGGATGTACACCACAGCTTCCTGCACAGAGGGAGGGAGCAGGAGCCGTCATGTGGAGGTGATGGCGTCGGACAGAGTTGTCCTCCATCAAGAAAGACTTTCCCTGATCAGGTTTTGATATCTACAGTTTTTTTTGAAAATCAAGGAATAATTTAAATAGTACTTACACGTGCAGAGGCAAGTGACAGAAGAAGTAACTAAGACCAGTCAGTGTTGGAGATGTTGCCTGGAAAGCCTCACGAGGGCAGGACAGAGGTGCCCGTTTTTGTGGTAGGCTTTATTGTAAACTGTGTGTTTAGCCAGGCGTTGTGGTGGGCCCCTGTAGTCCCAGCTACCCGGGGACCGAGGCAGGAGGATCACTGAGCCCAGGAGTTGGAGGTTGCAGTGAGCTGATGCTACTGCACTCTTGCCTGGGTGACAGAGTTAGACTCTGTCTAAAAAAAAAAACAACAGAAAGAAACAAACCTGTATGTGTTTTATTTTGATGAAAAAAAAATATATATATATATTTTTTGCAGTTTTTGGCCGGGGCCGGGTTTGAACCTGCCACCTCCGGTATTATGGGGCCAGTGCCCTACTCCTTTGAGCCACAGGCACTGCCCTTGATGAAATATATTTTTAATTTAAAAATTATGTAAATCTCTAGTCAGAGTACAGTCAATTTAAAAATGTGAGTGATGTTGGTTCCTTGGCTTTTCCCCTCCAAATTTAGTGAAAAGTCATGTCTTTTATTTTGTTATTTTATTAATAAATGACAGTTTTTACTGTAATTCTAATATTCATCAACGTTTATAATTTTTATAAATCAGCTTGCGCTTCTCTTTCCAGATCACTTGCAGAGAGCTGAAGCTCCTCCGGTGTGAGGCGAGCTGGGCAGCGTTCTGTCAGTGCCCATCCCTGCTGACGCTGATGGCCGATCTGGAGAAGAACGCACTGGTCATGTACTCCACACTGAAGCAGCTGTGCAGAGAGCATGGGCACACTTATGTCGAAGTGGCTGATTTGACGGAGATTCTCTCAGAGCACATGTCTTTCCAGGATGCCTGGGAGTCCCTGAAGTTTCTGAGGGATATTGGCGTGGTGGTGTGTGAGAAGGCCTGCGTCTTCCTGCACGAGCTGTACCAGGCTGAGCGAGGCATCGCCACCTCCATATGCAACCTGATGTTTAGGCCCCCGTGGCGCTTAGGTGTCGATGTCAAGAAGGTGCTTGCTTCTATTCACAGTGCACAGGCCGGGGATGCGAGGCCTGCTGATGCGCTGAGTGAAAGCACGCCCGATGAAGCAAGACCAGAGAGTCCTGGTGGCCTTGCGGACTCACAGGACGGTGGGGACCATGTTTGGAATAATGGTGAACATGAAACCAATGCAGAAGTTGGTGAAGTTCAGCTGGATCAGGATCAGGTAGCTGCCTTGGAAATGATTTGCTCCAATGCTGTGACAGTCGTAAGTGGGAAAGGAGGCTGTGGGAAGACCACAATTGTCAGCCATCTTTTTAAGCATATGGAATGGTTGGAAGAAAGAGAAGTAAAAAAAGCTTGTGAAGATTTTGAGCAAGACCAGGATGTCCCAGAGGAGTGGGTCACCTATTCCCAGCAGAGTCAGCAGCAGGCAGACAAGGCAATAGAAGTGTTGCTGACGGCGCCCACCGGGAAGGCAGCGGGCCTGCTGAGACGGAAGACCGGCCTGCACGCGTACACACTGTGCCAGGTGAGGCGGGTCCCCCTGCAGATAAGGTCTGCTTAGAGAGTGACGTGCTCCCTACAGCACTCGGGTCATTCATTGGTGTCTCTGAGATCCCTGTCTTGCACTAGCTAATTGTCAGATCAGTGCAGTCTTCAAAGCAGCCGGTCTGTGAGCTGCTCCTGCTCTGGGGAAAGAGCTGATGTAGGACAACGTGAGTCCATGCTCTGCCTCCATTGGGAGTTCTCTGAGAGGTCAAGGAGGGAGGTTCGGTTGAGGCCAGGAGTTTAAGACCAGCCTAAGAGCGAGACCTGGAAACAGACCGTTAGCAAGCGTGGTGGTCACACGTGTAGTCCCAACTACTGGGGGGTGGGAGGTGGGGGCCGAGGCAGGAGGATCCCACGGGCCCAGGAAGCTGAGAATGCCATGGCTGTGGTTTGGCCCCTGCACTCCCCCTAGCTTGGGTGACAGACCGAGACTCTATCTGGAAAAAAAAAAAAAAAAAAGGCTTAATGAAAAAAATGCCAGGTGAATCAAAGTGCCGAAGTGTGTGCCTGATGATGTAGGTGTGCATGGTTTAGGGCCTGGCAGCATCTGCAAACGCAGAGTACACAGCCCACAGTCTGAGCAGCTTTGGAAAAGGAAGGAAAGGTTTAGACTTTGTAGAATGAAAGTGTCATTAAAGTGGAGATTTTGATCATCTGGTATGGTTCTTTATCTCCTTCAGCTAGAATTTTTCTTGCAAAGGACAGTCATATGTCAAATGCTTCAAATGAATTTATATTCTTGAAGAAGATAGTATGGCTGTAACTAAGAGTGTGGACTTCACACTTGTAAAGAGTCTGGACAGGTTCCTCTAGCCCTGACCTACCATTTTTATAGGTAAAGGAACTTAATAGTTGGAAGATTCTTGCAGAAAACAGTAGCTGAACTGGCCCTGCAGGACATGGAGGCTTGGCTGCAGAAGAGCCGTTTTATTGGGGAAAGGCCTTTCTGCAGATGCTGAGGAATGTGGTTGTAGTGTGCATGGGGGTTTTGCCGTGACTTCTTAGATTAGTCTTATCTGGCAGAATAATGGAAATTAAAGTTGGTTTAGATGGTGAATTCAAGCTTTAATAAAAGTTAGTGAAGTATTTGACTTACGAAGACCTAATAAGCTGATGTTACTTCTGCCTTTATAGACAAAACCAGTTGAGGTCTTGGGGTGTGTGTTAACAACTCATGCAAGGCCTCTGGTGCTGGGACTTGAATTGAGATTTCTCGGCTCACTGCTCTCTGTGGGGTGTGGTCTCTGGCTTCTCACTGATGCTGTGCTCCTAGCAGGAGCACTCTGGCCTCACTTCCCAGGGAGCCACTGAGGGTCCTGGGCGAGAGCATGAACTGCAGAGGGCAGTTTCAAGGAAGACCCTGTAGGGTCACAGAACCACGGGGTGCCTCCATGTCTCTTTGCCCATTGCCTTTACTGTGGGAGTGAACCTGGGGATGCTCGGTGCCGGTGGAGAGTCCAGCCCGCTCTCAGTGGCAGGCCTTCACGTCCTGTGGGTCTGAAGGGCCAAGCCAGCAGGGGCACAGAGAGGGTGTCATCCGCTGTGTCTGCTGAGTAGCCCTGACTGAGCGGTAACACCTCAGCGTCTGTGTGTGTGCAGTGAGTGGTTCTGACACCATGTGTAGGCTCGAGAGAGTGCACGAGAAAGGGACCAGGGAGCATTTGTTTATGCTACTATTTATTGTCCTGGGACTGGGGGTGACAGATTCAGCAGATAAAAATACAAATAATTTTTTAGCATAAGTAATTAGCAAATATTTCATGTGCTTATACTCAAAAGCCATTTATTTGAAGTTCAAGCTTCACTAAGTGTCCCGTACTTTACGTGGCAGCCCCATGTGGGCAGTGTGCAAAGGAGCCTGGCTGCAGAGCTGCTGTGTTCACCCAGGTGCCCCCAGTCACCAGCTGCTCCCCACAGTCACTGGGTACCCCCCACAGTCACCGGGTACCCCCCCCACAGTCAGCCAGGTGCCCATGTTATGGATGCCCCTCACCAAGAAGTTTAGGGGAAAGTGCTGATTGAGGAGGTGTTTCTCAGATAACTATTGTGTGTACCAAATGGGAAAGGCACCAGTCAGAGCTGGTTCTGAAAATTTGTTGTGAGACCTGGCCCCGAGAGAGTGAGAGTGTGTTGGAGGAAGTTGGTACTTGCTGGGTGGTAAATGTGAAAGCTTTATTTAATAGACATGTTGAATATAGTTTGGGTAGGAAACTTAAATGAAGATACAATATCATTTTTAAAATGTGTACATAAATACAAGAGGGAAATCTGAAGGCTGAGATGCTCCAGTAAGCCTTTGGGTACTATGTTGGCACTCAGAAAGTGAAGGACTTCAGATGAGGGACGCTCCATGTATACACACACACATCGGTAACAGAACCATGGTGGGA